TTGTCGCGGCACGCTGGATATCCGGAATGTCAGCAAATCTGTTGCCTTTTAAGTCCTGTTTTTAATTTTGGAAACCGACAAAAGTGTCAGGATGTTAAAGCGGAGTTCCACTCACCCTGTCAAAAAATAAAAGTCAGCAGCTACAAAAACTGTAGCCGCTGACTTTTAAAAAACAGCCACTTACCTGTCCCTCAGTCCAGTGGTGTGTCCCCCGCAGCCCGTTTCACCGGCTGTCCTGTATTCCAGGAGGCCGGAATCTTCACTGTGGGCACCCGGCTGTGACAGCTTGCGGCTTCACAGCCGGGTCTCCACTGTGCATGCGCGAGTAGCGCTGCGCTTCATGAATGGTCCTGTAGTTTTCTGGGACCTGTCACGTGTCCCAAAAGGCTGCAGGGAGGGAGGACACCTTCTGCTTCCGATCGCCTAGGCGAGGGGTAGGCAACCTGCGGCTCTCTAGCTGTTGTGAAACTACATTTCCCATGAGGCATTGCAAAGATTACAAAACTGACAGTTACAGCTATGACTTGCAGAGGCATGATGGAACTTGTAGTCCTGCGGCTCTCAGGTTGCCTACCCCTGGCCTAGGCGATCGGACTGGAAGTGGGAGCGGGTACCTGTCAAATTTGGGTACCCATTCCCCCCTCGCTCCCCAAAGGTGCCAATCCTTAATGCGGAGTGGGGGAGCAGTCATTAAAGTGGAACTTCCCCTTTTGGGTAGAGCTCCGCTTTAAGTGAGGGGAATAAGGTGGTTGGTCAAGTTTTGGAATAGATTTCTGGGCCAGGAACTCGTAAACACTTAACGCATCATGTGCAGGAGCATTGTCGTGGTGTGAATCCACTTGTCAGGCCCGAAGTTCCAGTCTTTTCCTTTGAACAGATTCCCGTAAACCTTTTCATTTTCCTGCAAAAAGGTAAGCGAGCGCAAGATACAATGAAGCAGCTAGCATAAAAGAATGAACCCCTATATCCTCAAATATGACTCAAACGTAAAATGCAGCGCTATATGATATGATCAATAAATGAAAGTGATAAAAGTGACTATATCTGCCATTTAAAAACCATATTGTCTTTAAAGTCTCTCAAATCTCTAGAAAATTTCTTTCTCTTTTTTATCTTCTGTTCTTTTTCTGTGTTCTCCATAAGGAGTTTCAGTCTATCTGATTCTATTTCATATTCTTCTTTTCCCATATATGGGGCTAATTGGTCCCGTGTTTTATTAACTTCCGTATCTAAATGTATCCGGTTTTTTTTCTTCTTCCTCAATATCAAAAATTTGAGTAAATCTATACCCATATTGTTAAAAAATTGATACCATTGATTTCATTTTCCACATTTGCATCCTTCCTTTGCTTCGATTGCCCACTTCTTGCATCATCATGGATGTTTGCCCGCTCCTCCTAACACCTATGCCATTCAAAAACATTTAATTTCTTCATCAATTGTTCACCATAAGTCTTTGGTAACAAAGTTAAAGTTTCACTCGCACGTTTGCCGATTTCCATGGAAAATTTGATGCTTCAGATTTCTGTCACTCATTTTCCAGCAGCGCAACGCACAGACGTGTTATTTCATCTGCTACTCCATAAAGATGAGTCCACTAGTCGGTGACCCGGCAGAGTGCAAATTAGAACATGTCAGAACGTCTTTGCTGGCGATGTCAGGAGACGGAGGGGACGCTCCTCCATATATTTTGGTCATGCCCTCGGTTTGGGCACTACTAGAAGGAAGTTTGTTGTATCATTCAGAAATTCATGGACCATCCTGTGCCTATGGATCCGCCATTTTCTCTGTTCCATGTCACCGATAGGTCACCTAAGGCTTACAGGCGGGTCGATTGTGCGTCATCTATTAAATGCAGCCAAGTCCTGCATTGCTCTGTGTTGGCGCAAGCCGCATCCTCCCTCGTTGGGGCAATGGCTACGTATGAAGAAATTAACCATATGGAGGGTTTGATGCTTACACATCAGCATAAGAGGGAACTTTTACTCTAAAACGTGGACTTTATGGAGCATGTTTGTTTACTCGGATGAGGGGAAATCGCTCCTTGAGACAGGGTAGGACTGATTTGTTCCTTCCCCTGGCCTTTCCATGGTTCCCACGCGCCCATCACCCCAAACCCCCCCCCCCCCCCCCTCTTTTTTTTTTTTTTGTTTTCTTTTTCTATTTCTCTGCTTTTCTCTCCTCTCTCTCCTTTTTCTTACTCTATGGTGCTATCTGACTCGCTGCTCCGTCCTATCGCTTTCCTTTTTCCCTCCTTTTTCTTTTGATTAAAAACCGCACCGGACAGCAGGTTTTTGCCATTTGTATGTACACTGAGTTGCTTTGTATTTTGTCCTGGGATGGCATCCTTCCCAGTCATATCTTCGGATCCCTACATGTTTATATATTTTTTTGTTTGATGCCTACCTCTGTATTTTATATACATACAGTGAAGGAAATGCGTATTTGCTCCCCTGCTGATGTTGAATGTTTGCCCACTCACAAAGAAATGATCGGTCTAAATATTGAGTGTATTGTATCTCTCAGTGTATTGTAACACTGAGAGACAGAATAGCAACAAAAAATTCAAAAGAAATGCATGTCTAACAAATGATGACTGATCTGCATGTTCATGACAGAAAGAAGGATTTGATCCCCTATCATTCAGCAGGATTTCTGGCTACCAGGTGTCTTTCATACAGGTAACAAGCTGAGATTAGAAGCAGTCTCTTAAAGGGAGTGCTGCTAATCTCATTGTGTTACCTGTATAAAAGACACCTGTCCACAGGAGCAATCAAACAATCAGATTCCAAACTCTCCACCATGGCAAAGACCAAAGAGCTGTCCAAGGATGTCAGGGACAAGATTGTAGACCTACACAAGGCTGGACTGGGCTACCAAACTATGGCCAAGCAGCTTGGTGAGAAGGTGACAACAGTTGGTGCAATCATTCACAAATGGAAGAAACACAAAACAAGTGTCAGTCTCCCTAGGTCTGGTGCACCATGCAAGATCTCACCTCGTGGAGTGTCAATGATCATGAGAACAGTGAGGAATCATCCCAGAACTACACGTGAGGATCTTGTCAATGATCTCCAGGCAGCTGGGACCACAGTCACCAAGAAAACAATTGGTAACACACTACGCCGACAAGGACTGAAATCCTGCAGTGCCCGCAATGTCCCTCTGCTCAAGAAAGCCCATGTCCAGGCCCATCTGAAGTCTGCCACTGAACATCTGAATGATGCAGAGGAGGACTGGTGGGAAGTGTTGTGGTCAGATGAGACCAAAATCGAGCTCTTTGGCATCAACTCAACTCGCCGTGTTTGGAGGAGGAGGAATGCTGCGTATGACCCCAAGAACACCATCCCAACTGTGAAACGTGGTGGAAACATTCTGCTTTGTGGGTGTTTTTTTTTTTTTCTGCTGAGGAGACAGGACAACTGCACCGCATCAAAGGGACGATGGAAGGGGCAATGTACCCTCAAATCTTGGGTGAGAACCTTCCCTCAGCCAAGGCATTGAAAATGGGTGGTGGATGGGTGTTCCAGCATGACAATCACCCAAAACACACGGCCAAGGCAACAAAGGAGCGGCTCAAGAAGAAGCACATTAAGGTCCTGGAGTGGCCTAGCCAGTCTCCAGACCTTCATCCGATTGAAAAATCTGTGGAGGAGCTGAAAGTTCGAGTTGCCAAACGTCAGCCACCAAACCTTAATGACTTGGAGAGGATCTGCCAAGAGGAGTGGGCCAAAATCCCTCCTGACATGTGTGCAAACCTGGGGGCCAACTCCAGGAAACGTCTGACCTCTGTGATTGCTAACAAGGGATTGGCCACCAAGTACTAAGTCATGTTTTGTGAAGGGGATCAAATCCTTATTTCCCTCATGAACATGCAGATCAGTCATCATTTGTTAGACGCATTTCTTTTGAATTGTTTGTTGCTCTTCTGTCTCTGTGTTACAATACTTCTACCATTCGATTTTTAGACCGATCATTTCTTTGTGAGGGGCAAACATTCAAAATCAGCCGGGGATCAAATACGCATTTCCTTCACTGTATGTTTATATGGATGCATGACGTGTCTTCTGCTGTTCCGTTGTTTTCAACAAACATAGAATTTGTCAGAACACGCTCGAGTGCGAATGGCTTTGTAGCACGCCACCATAGTACTATGCCATGGGCATTCTGGGAAATACATTGTCACGCCTCTTATATTGTATACCTTGGTATTGAAATGGGTCTAGTACTTGATGCTGAGCTTTTCATAAATAAAGCTTTTGAAAAAAAATTATAAGGAGATAGTCATCTAATCATTCAAAACAATAGCGCTCCCTGATAGCCCACCCCCTCCCCCAACAAAGTATACTCACCTGTCTGCACTCCTTTGCTGTAGAAGTTCACCCTGACTAAGCTCCGTTGTCAGAGCTTTCCCGGGTTTATGATGTAATTGTCCCCACCATGTCACAGTGATTGGGCCTGGCGATTAGCCGTTTAGACCCAAGCACTTTGACAATGTCAAATCCTCCCCCATCTCCTGAAGCCCTACTCCATTAGGGCTAGAAAAAAGCAGGGGAGGGGTGAGTTGAGGCTGTGTGGATGGGTGATTATACCTGGCTGGGGGGGTAAGCTATCCGAAAGGCACTGTCACTTTGCCCTCAATGGAGAAGGATCTGACTTCTTTTTGTTTTGTTTTGTTTTTTGTGTTTTTGTTTTATTTTTTGTTTTGTTTGTTTTTGTTTTTTTAAGGATATCAAAGCATGTTTCTTGCATAGTTCCTTTTGTTGCACATTGAGGTGCATGCTAGATAGTGCCGGTGTTTTGAAAATCATTTATTCTTGCATTCCAATACAGATTTGCAGAGCGACGTTTTGATCCATGGCACCAAGTCCCGGAACAGAGCGATCCATGGAGATGTAGTGGCTGTAGAGATTCTGCCCAAACCTGAGTGGAAGGGGAGAACGGGAGCTCTGTGTGAGAACGAGGCAGAGGAGAGAACTGGAGAGACACAAAGTGAAGTTATGATGACCGGTGAGCTGAACAGGAGGGACTTGGTAGTATGGTGGGCCCTGGAAGCGGTGCATAGTAGTGGAGGGACTTGGTAGTATGGTGGGCCCTGTAAGCGTGCATAGTGGCAGAGGGACTTGGTAGTATGGTGGGCCCTGGAAGCGGTGCATAGTGGCAGAGGGACTTGGTAGTATGGTGGGCCCTGGAAGCGGTGCATAGTGGCGGAGGGACTTGGTAGTATGGTGAGCGCTGTAAGCGTGCATAATGGCAAGGGACTTGGTAGTATGGTGGGCCCTGTAAGCGGTACATAGTGGCGGAGGGACTTGGTAGTATGGTGGGCCCTGGAAGCGGTGCATAGTGGTGGAGGGACTTGGTAGTATGGTGGGCCCTGTAAGCGGTGCATAGTGGTGGAGGGACTTGGTAGTATGGTGGGCCCTGTAAGCGGTACATAGTGGTGGAGGGACTTGGTAGTATGGTGGGCCCTGGAAGCGGTGCATAGTGGTGGAGGGACTTGGTAGTATGGTGGGCCCTGGAAGCGGTGCATAGTGGTGGAGGGACTTGGTAGTATGGTGGGCGCTGTAAAGCGGTGCATAGTGGTGGAGGGACTTGGTAGTATGGTGGGCCCTGGAAGCGGTGCATAGTGGCGGAGGGACTTGGTAGTATGGTGGGCGCTGTAAGCGGTACATAGTGGTGGAGGGACTTGGTAGTATGGTGGGCCCTGGAAGCGGTGCATAGTGGCGGAGGGACTTGGTAGTATGGTGGGCCCTGTAAGCGGTGCATAGTGGCGCAGGGACTTGGTAGTATGGTGGGCCCTGTAAGCGGTACATAGTGGCGGAGGGACTTGGTAGTATGGTGGGCGCTGTAAGCGGTGCATAGTGGCGGAGGGACTTGGTAGTATGGTGGGCGCTGTAAGCGGTGCATAGTGTGGCGGAGGGACTTGGTAGTATGGTGGGCCCTGTAAGCGGTGCATAGTGGCGGAGGGACTTGGTAGTATGGTGGGCCCTGTAAGCGGTACATAGTGGCGGAGGGACTTGGTAGTATGGTGGGCCCTGTAAGCGGGGCATAGTGGCAGATAAATGTGCAGTGTGATGGTGAGCCTTCAGACCTGCATTCACGTTTTGTCTGCACCCAGGTCGTGTGGTGGGAGTGTTGCAGCGGAATTGGAGAGATTATGTGGCTACTTTCCCATCCAAGGAAGATACCCAATCCCAAGGAAAGAATGCACGGAAGGTTCTTGTGACACCATGGGACTACAGAATTCCCAAAATCCGAATTAGCACGCAGCAAGCAGAGGCATTACAGGTACATTCACAGATGCATTCCTATTCTTATACAAAAATTTAATTCTGAAGAAAGTTGTATTGTAACTAATCCCTCTTCCAGATTAGAAGGAAAAGATCATGTTCTGTGGTAGTACCTTCATATTGATGGAGATCCTCAAGTGGTAGTTGCATTTACTCCTTTTACTAATATATCTATTCTAATGACTGTATTATGTGATATAATAGTATGTCTACCCTATCATGGCCACCGTTAAAATGGAACCCCAATCTAATTTTTTTTTTTTTTTTTTACTTTGAACCTCTATATTGTAGGGCACAGATGTCAAACACAAGGCCTACGGGCCAAATCCCGCCCTCCAGGCCATTTCATGTGGCCCTTGCACCTCTCCTGCAGGTACCCCCTTGTCTCCACCTCCACCTTGTCTCAGAAGTTGGGAGCAGAGAGGAGAATAGAACTCCTCTGCCAAAATCCTGCACCTCTCAGTGCAGCTGCAGCACCCCTCATCTCTGCCTTCTCTGGTCTCAGCATTCAGCAGACTCTGGTAACTGACTCCATTCCTCCTCTGGTCCTCCTCCAGACCCTGCACTTTCTGCTTTCCAGCTCTGCCCCCAAAGGGGGTGCATGGTGATGTTGGGAGGGTGTGCGATTCTTGACATCCAATGTAATTGGGGGGTGGGGGGGTGCTCTGGTCATCTAGTCTTACAGATACAACCGGCCCTTTGAGGGCAACCATAATGCTGATACGGCCTGCAGTGAAATGGAGTTTGACGCCCCTGTTCTAGGGTTTTACATTTGTGTATCCTCATTAGGGATGTTTTCCCTTTTTGTGTCCCCATTGAAGTGGTTCTAAAGGCAGAAGGGTTTTTTGTTTGTTTGTTTTTTACCTTAATGCATTCGCTGCATTCTGCATGCAGCTCCCCCACCCTATTATACTTACCTGCGCCTGATCTTGATACAACGCTGTGTGAAACAGCAGAGGTTCTCTCCACTCTCTCCCTCCTCAGGGGCTCAGAGGCAGCAGCGGGAGCAATTGGCTTCTGTAGCGATCAGTCACAGCCAGTGAGGAGGGGGACAGGACCAAGCTGAGCCACGCTCTGTGTGTCAATGAAGGTAAATGTTTAGGTTGCAGTATGCTCCCTCACCCACCCTCCCATTGGCTCCACCTGTCTGTCAATCAAAGCCAGTGACAAGAGAGCGGGAGGCGGGGCCGAGCCATGTTGTTTGTGTCTCTAGACACAGGCAAAGCAGCTCGGGAGCAAGCTCGCGGATGTTTTCCCATAGCAAAAGTGACTTGCTATGGGGGCTCATCAAGAAGAGGAGGAGGAGACGGGAGTGAATGTAGCCTTACTGCTGTACGTATTCAAGCTTCATACAATCAGCTGTTAGGCAATGAATTGGATACAGGATCTGTTCACATACTGTATCCAAATCACTGTTTGTATAATACAGGGTAGTGTACACTGTTCAATACGTAATCCTGACTGCTGCAACCTGTATGCTGTGTCATATGCTGCATACATCTGATCACTACCCATCTATACTGTGCTATGAGTTATATATTTTTATCACCATTTCTTTTTAAATTGTATGTTACATATTCCTGACCACTGCGCTCTGTAATCTGTGCTGTACCCTACGGACTGCTGAACTCTGTAAGCTGTGGTTTGTTTTGCACACCTCTGACTACACTCGGCTTAGAGAGTTGTGAGGATTATGTAAAATATAGTGCCCAAGTACAGAGTGAAGGGGTTGGTAGGATTTAATATACAACTCTGTGCAGTGATTAGAAGTGTGTTGGATAAATCCCAGCATACATAGCGCAGAGGTTGTGTCCTCAATGTGCAGGATTAGAAATATGTAACATACAGTCAGGTCCATAAATATTGGGACATCGACACAATTCTAACATTTTAGGCTCTATACCCACCACAATGGATTTGAAATGAAACGAACAAGATGTGCTTTAACTGCAGACCCTCTCAGATTTAATTTGAGGGTATTTACATCCAAATCAGGTGAACGGTGTAGGAATTACAATAGTTTGCACATGTGCCTCAGCCACTTGTTAAGGGACCAAAAGTAATGGGACAATTGGCTTCTCAGCTGTTCCATGGCCAGGTGTGTGTTATTCCTTCATTATCCCAATTACAATGAGCAGATAAAAGGTCCAGAGTTCATTTCAAGTGTGCTATTTGCATTTGGAATCTGTTGCAGTCAACTCTCAAGATGAGATCCAAAGAGCCTGTCACTATCAGTGAAGCCATCATTAGGCTGAAAAAACAAAACAAAAACCATCAGAGAGATAGCAAAAACATTAGGCGTGGCCAAAACAACTGTTTGGAACATTCTTAAAAAGAAGGAACGCATCGGTGAGCTCAGCAACACCAAAAGACCCGGAAGACCACGGAAAACAACTGTGGTGGATGACTGAAGAATTCTTTCCCTGGTGAAGAAAACACCCTTCACAACAGTTGGCCAGATCAAGAACACTCTCCAGGAGGTAGGTGTATGTGTGTCAAAGTCACCAATCAAGAGAAGACTTCACCAGAGTGAATACAGAGGGTTCACCACAAGATGGAAACCATTGGTGAGCCTCAAAAACAGGAAGGCCAGATTAGAGTTTGCCAAACGACATGTAAAAAAGCCTTCACAGTTCTGGAACAACATCCCTATGGACAGATGAGACCGACATCAACTTGTACCAGAGTGATGGGAAGAGAAGAGTATGGAGAAGGAAAGGAACTGCTCATGATCCTAAGCACACCACCTCATCATGAAGCATGGTGGTTAGTGTCATGGCTTGGGCATGTATGGCTGCCAATGGAACTGGTTCTTTTGTATTTGTTGATGATGTGACTGCTGACAGAAGCAGCCGGATGAATTGTGAAGTGTTTCGGGAATATTATCTGCTCATATTCAGCCAAATGCTTCACAACTCATTGGACGCTTCACAGTGCAGATGGACAATGACCCAAAGCAGACTGCAAAAGCAACCAAAGAGGTTTTTAAGGGAAAGAAGTGGAATGTTCTGCAATGGCCAAGTCAATCACCTGACCTGAATCCGATTGAGCATTTTCACTTGCTGAAGACAAAACTGAAGGGAAAATGCCCCAAGAACAAGCAGGAACTGAAGACAGTTGCAGTAGAGGCCTGGCAGAGCATCACCAGGGATGAAACCCAGCGTCTGGTGATGTCTATGCTTCCACACTTCAGGCTGTAATTGACTGCAAAGGATTTGCAACCAAGTATTAAAAAAGTGAAAGTTTGATTTATGATTATTATTCTGTCCACATTACTTTGGTCCCTTAACAAGTGGGAGGCACATATGCAAACTGTTGTAATTCCTACACCGTTCACCTGATTTGGATGTAAATACCCTCAAATTAAAGCTGACAGTCTGCAGTTAAAGCACATCTTGTTCATTTCATTTCAAATCCATTGTGTGTGGTGTATAGAGCCAAAAATGTTAGAATTGTGTCGATGTCCCCAATATTTCTGGACCTGACTGTACACCCTAAGGTATAGAGTGCAACATTCAGGCGTACTGCAGCCTTTATTATATGGTATACTACAGTGAGAGGTATGTAACTTTATAACCCAGCATACAGAGTATGGAGGGCAGGAGTATGACATGTACAAGGCATGCTATAAAATCATGTGCCCCCTGTCCATAGCTTACCGGCTGCCCCCCCCTGCCCCACAGCTTTCACCTCTGCACCCAGCCACCACCCCTCTCCATCCACAGCTTTCACCTCTGCACCCAGCCACCACCCCTCTCAAGCCACAGCTTTCGCCTCTTCACCCAGCCACCACCCCTCTCCATCCACAGCTTTCGCCTCTTGACCCAGCCACCACCCCTCTCCATCCACAGCTTTCGCCTCTGCACCCCCAGCCCCCACCCCTCTCCATCCACAGCTTTCGCCTCTTGACCCAGCCACCACCCCTCTCCACCACAGCTTTCGCCTCTGCACCCAGCCCCCAACCCCTCTCCATCCACAGCTTTCGCCTCTGCACCCAGCCACCACCCCTCTCCATCCACAGTTTTCGCCTCTGCACCCAGAACCACCCCTCTCCATCCACATTTTCGCCTCTGCACCCAGCCACCACCCCTTTCAAGCCACAGCTTTTGCCTCTTCACCCAGCCACCACCCCTCTGCATCCACAGCTTTTGCCTCCGCATCCAGTCCTCCTATCCACAGCTTTGCCCTCTGCCCCCCTACCCTTCATATCCTTCATCTCTGCACCCAGCCTAGACCCTTCCCATCCCTCAGCTCTCACTTTTGCACCCAGCAACCTACCCATCCACAGCAGCATCTTATAGGTTAGGCAGACACAGATTTTTTTTTTTTTTTAAATACATAATACTTTGTTCTGGACAACAGCAGGGTGCAATTTGAAATTGTACTAATATGGGGATGAAACGATGGGGGATCGTTGTCTATGGGTACCTGTGACACCAGCTGAGAGATGCAAGGCACATGCCCTGGGTGCACTCTACTAGTGACAGCCCTGTTTATTTACAAGGATTGGAAAAAAAACAGACAAACCATTCCATGCCCCTAAATGGTTTCTGGTACTCAAAACAAAACAAAAAAGGTTTACTCCTCCCCATAGTTTCCTAATAAAGCTCTGACAAGATTCTCCTTCCTTTAGAAATCCCATTGACCCCATACCCCCCCAGCCCATTACACCACCCCCCATTGACTTCTCCATCACATCCAACAACGCCACCATCAAACCCGCCCCGCAGGCCAGAGTACTTGTTGTCATTCTGGACTCCAACCTATCTTTCCAGCCCCAAGTCCAATCTTTAACAAACTCATGCAGACTCCACCTCCGCAGCATCGCCAAAATCCGCACGTTCCTAACCCCAGAAACCACTAAACAGCTCATCCACTCCCTCATCATATCACGACTCGAACTGCAACTCCCTCCTCACTGGCCTGCCTCGCGGCTGGCTATCCCCGCTTCAGTCCATCCTGAACACGGCTGCCAGACTCATTCACCTTTCCAACCGC